TCTATAGATCGAACCCCTGCTCCTGGGCCGCCAAATTTGTTTTTGGCCGTCGGCGGGCGCAGCGCTACCGGGAGCTCTGCGCCCCGGCAACATCCAATCATGGTCACCGCCACGGAGAGGAGCACGCGGCAAGGAAAATAGCGCGCTCGCGCTCGACGATTGTGCGAGATTGGGCGCGCGCCCTGAGCTGAAAATTGGACCACCGGTAGTCTACACTGAGGAGCTGAGGTGGTTTAAATTTCAGACCAAACGGTCCAGCGGATCATGAGATATCGAAGTTTTAGGACGCACCATGAAATTCGAGCGTGTCGGGCGATGAGGACGACGGGGGGATGGAATGGCATCTAAGCCTTCAACCTCAACACCTGCTGTTTTCTGACTTTTGAAAGCAGGTCTACTGCCATCTCTCTACTTTGCGCTTCAAACGAGTGATGCTACAGGATAGCATGCTGGATGAAGGAGGGTACTGCTTATTTGGACACTACTCTGGGAGTAATCACTAGTGCTCTTCATCTTGCGACTTTTAGGTGGAGGAGGTCAGCTCGGCGCGAGAAGAAGAAGCGTACAGTGTGTCCCGTGGAGTGGGAGGAGGATTGTCAGGGGATAGTGAGTGGGAGGGCTTCGAGGAGAGAATCCATTCCGTCAAGTGAGTAACGAGATTAGTCCTCACCGTTGCCATCATCAATAGCATCATCATCACCATCATCTTCATGTTCAGCATCGAGGTGGAACGAACGTGGCAGCGGGAGTGCTGGGCAACAGAAGGACAAAAAGGAGCAGCAGCAGCAGCAGCAGCATTATCAGCAGCAGTAGCAACATTTTTGACATCATCATCATCATTATGTGCATCTTTATTGGTGAGTCATCATTATCTTCATCATCAGCTTCATCATCATCATCATCATCATCATCATCATCATCATCATCATCATCAATATCATCATCATCAACATCATCATGATCATTATCTTCATCGTCATCGTCAGCATAACTGACATATCATCATCATCATCATCATCAATATGAGCATCTTCATTGGTGCGTCATCTTCATCATCATCATCATCATCATCATCGTCATCATCATCATCAGAAGCAGCAGCATCAGAAGCAGCAGCAGCATTATTGATATCATCATAATCATCATCATGAGTATCATCATTGGTTAATCTTCATCATCATTATCATCATCTTTATCATCATCATCATCATCATCATCATCTTTATCGATATCTTTTTGTTATTAGTAGAGTTTGCTCTTCAAGGCTTCGTGTCACTTTTCGTATCATCATCATCATTCCCGTTATCATTATCTTCAGGGCGCTATCCTTTGCCTCCAACAAAATCCAAGTGGAATGACGATTTGGTGAGGGGGTAGGGGAGAGCCCGGCCCCGAAGGGGTTTCATTAGGAGGGAGGTGGAATCCTGGAGGGGGTATGGGCAGATTGTGAGGAATACTCTTTTCTGGGGCTGGGCATCAAATCTCAGCGGGGGCAGATTAGAGTAAAGGGATAAATAGGGTAATGGAGAGAATGGAGGTGTGCTGAAATTCTCGGCTATCATTATCTGATTATTGGTATATTAAGCTTYTTGGTGTTCTGAAATTCTGGCTGCATCTAGTATTCTTCCACATCCGGGATATAGGTCTTCAGAGATGGTTGAACCTGGTCTGATATTTTCTGAGTTGCTCTGTTCTGTGCCCTTGGTTTGCCGATGCCAGAACGACGCTGGCCGGAGCTGGGGCGTTGCCTTGTAACCTGTAAATGGCAGGAGTGTGAGGCCTTGTAGAGAGATCTGGGGTTTGCTGAGGGTGGAAGGCATTCCAGTGGTGAACCCGGGGGGGCTGAAAGGAGGCGAGAAGAGATCAGCTATGGTTGATGTTGGTCAGGTTGTTTCTGTCTCTGTAGTATAGTGTCCTGGTATAGGGAGGGCTAGGAGTTGTACTGGGATTAGGAGCCCAGAATAGCTGATATAGCATCATCATCATCATCATCATCATCATCACACCATTAGTTTCATCATCTGATTATTGTTATATTAAGCTTTTTGGTGTTCTGAAGTTTTTGGCAGCATCTAGCATTCTTCCACATTCGGGATATAGGACTTCAGAGACGGTTGAACCTGGATTGATTTCAACTGAGTTGCTCTGTTCTGAGCCCTTGGTTTGCTGATGCCAGAACGACGCTGGCCGGAGCTGGGGCGTTGCCCTGTAACCTGTTAATAGCAGGAGCGTGAGGCCTTGTAGAGAGATCTGGGGTTTGCTGAGGGAGGAAGGCAGTCTAGTGGTGAACCAGGTGGGGCTGCAATGAAGCGAGAAGAGATCAGCTATGGTTGACAATTAGTTAGGTTGGTTTTGTCTTTGAGGAACAGTGTCCTGGTAGAGGGAGGGCTGGGAGTTGTTCTAGGATTAGGAGGCCAGAATAGCTGATATAGCATATTTTTCTTTAATTTTTCATATTTTTGAATCATCATTCTCATTAACATCATTATCTAGGATATTATCAGTGTCATTAGTATCATCATGGTCATCATTAGCGGTTTCCGTATGTTCATTCTGGGCAGACTGTGAGGACCCCGGCCTCAATCTTATTATTGGTAATATGAGCCTTGGGCACTGGGCCCGGTTTAAAAAAAAATAAAAAAAAAAAAAAAAAAAAAAAAAAAGATCGAACCCCTGCTACCTATGGACCCTATAATAACCTACTTACTGTTACAAATACACAGGTCACGGGTTCAACTCTAAGGGTCGACACAGATACTGTACACAGGTTAGGTGGGGACTAGGGATCGAGCCCTGGGATCTGCATCAGCTACTGCGAACTGGTGAATACCGTTTCACTTTGTGACGTTTGCCCTGAACTACTCTAAGTTACTTCCCTCTTCTATTTGTGAACTATTACCGCAACCTTCTCAAAGCAACTGCAGACATATCAACTAAATTTCTCATCCATCATGGTTCCCTCAGCTCTGTCAGGGCAACCTTTTCATCCTCACTGTCGACAACACTGTAAAGAGCCTGAGATGCCAAGACGGGTTTCCCACCACGCACCCAATGGATACACCTCAAGTTTGCTCTTCACCAGTTCTCTCTTTCCTCCCTACCAGTAGCGCTCCCACCGCCCCTTGTGCCACTCTCACTGCTCAAGGTGGCACCGGTACTGATGGCTCCATAAGTTTCACCCTGAACCACTCAAGAATTACTTCCTCTCTCATCTTTAAGCTGCTTCAGCCACGTTAATCGATCGTGGCATCTACTAACACCTAATTAACGAGCTTACTGCATGATCGTATTGCGATGACCTATTACTGTGTCCGTTCCAGTACGTGCTTCCAAGTACGAAACACTATAGGCAAAATATGTATTAACGCCAGGGGATAATTTTACTGCCCAGGAAATTCAAGCGACAGCAAGCTCAATCATTACCCTAAAATACGACAGAGAAAACAGAGTTTCTATCAGCGTAAGAAACCACAGAGCCCGTGAATCTAACAAACTATATCCAGTAGATGCATGATGCCAGGGGATCTAACTACCCATTAGCAATGTGATATGGCCAGATACTAAGCATAAGAAAGGGAAAGCCAATGAATGCATCTGTCTACCAACACCAAAAGCAGAGCCTCAAAGCTCCAGATCTTCCACGAGCTCCCATGCCGAGATTGGAGCTCTTGTTCTGAAATCTTCCGGCATGCTCCCACCATTGCTGCAGGCTCTCTCACTGCCCGCGGCGACACCATTCCGGATCATTCTTCCAGTACTTGCACTTGTAGCTCTAGGTCCGCCGCTCCCAACGGTTCTGTGTCTGAGACTAGGGCCTGCTTTCACGAGCACGAGTAATCAACGTGATGTTGCAATAACCGATATTAGGGTTTGAAGAGAAAACATTTCGGTAATTTCCAAGGATAGAAAATTAGTGAAGTGAGAGGTGGGACAGAGGAGGAAGTCGCCTGGGGCCCCTATCCTTGAGTGCGAAGGCACTCCCTCTCCACTCAAGGAGAGGTTCGGATATGAGCAACCGAAGACATAGATCAACTATGTCTTCTTCCAGTCGAGACGCCAGTCTGTCCATACCGAGTGGCCACAGGACTTCGACTAGCGTGCTTTCCCGCCAAGCGTCGGCTGGCCGTGGAGTGCTAAGACTCTGCTAATTCGAGAGTGAGTTAGTGCTGCCTTAGCGCTAACGTGACGTTACCGAACGCTTACCGGTTCCCCCCTTGATTCAGTCTGTTTTCTCCGAGCGGCTATGGCTTTGTGACTCGGGGCTTCACGTTGTTCTAATGATTGAGTATATTTCGAGGTTGTTTATCCACATGTTCAGCCGTGGTCAAGCACGGTCACTTGTTGTGTCAGTCTGTTGACGTCATCTCTTCATCTTCATTCTGGCTGCACGGTGCCTCCGAGTTTTGCTTGTGGTGACAAAAACTTTCTGCAAGTCTGGGGCCGTGAACTGCTAGCGGTTTAAACTCCACCTAGCAGCCAAGGATCAACCTTGAATGAGCTGCCTTCCATTATCACAAGCTTGCCCCCCATAGCCCAGGTGGCCGAAAACCATGCTAAACCGGAGGCCCTCTATGCTGTGCTGGAGACCTTCCTTCTCCAATCTCTCTTGAACGTACGCCTGATATGTGACTTGATGGAGGTCTTGATGGCTGGGTCAGAGATAAAACGCCCTTCAAAAACATTTTTGTTCCTGAAGTCCCAAATGACAATGAACATGCAGGCTGTTTTTTTACTTAAAAATAAAATAAAAAATACCCGGCTTCGGCTAAGAACAATTAGTATTCAGAAAACTTTAGGAAAGAACATCCAGGTCCGACCGTAATTGCTGTCAGATTCATTCAGGAAAGTACTAGTGCGTGAAAATGCCTTCTGTGAAAAAAGAAAAAAGAAAAAAGAAAAAGCCCTCTGTGGGATGCAGTGCACAGTGCCACACTGTTGTGAGATCAGAAAAAGAAAAAGGAGAGATAGGAATGCTTGGCAGGGTGGGGATCCGGGCATACCTGCTGGAAATCTGCGAGATGTTGACTCTCCAAAGCCAGCCGCTCATGTATGTGCTTGGAAGTTATCTGCTCCCGTTTCTTGTTCTCATTACTGACGTTATCCATCCAGGATTAAATTTCCGCAACGATCGTGATAATAATTGTATCGAAAAGTTATCCATCCAGATTTTGGTGAAAGTGATAACAAAGTCCTATTCACACTAGCACTATCTTGAAAACATCTGACCGCAGCTGGACCTGGAAGCATCTGGCCGCCATTCCGCCCACTCATGGACATCACAATAGGACACACAGAGCCCCAATTGTGCCCGCTGAGCTTAGAAGTCGACAGACTGAGTTTGATGTACCAGGGACGCTGGACCCGCTTTCCAGCAGGTGCCGCTCCCCACCAATGGACCTGAGCGACTGGGATAAGCTATACTAGGGGGAGATGCTCTTATCTCTTCCCTAGCAGACACTGGCTGGTGCTTCCTGTATAACAAAAAAAAGAAAAAAAAAAAAAAAAAAGGTGCTACTGTGAGGGCCTCGCTCCACTATTCTCGACAATGCTGGCGGGGGCACCTGTTGTGTGTGACCTGTCCGCTCCTGTTGTTTAAGCCGCAACATCAGCTGGGGTTGCGTGTGCTGCACTATAGATGCCTGATTGTCATGCTGTTCCTGCAGTCCCATTTGGCTGGCAAACTGTAGCCTTTGTTGCTCTTGGACTGCTGGCTGCAATGGCTTGGGCTGCGATGTCAAGTCAGGCGACATGTTTCCGGGACATGGCAATGCCTCTTCCCTTCCCCTCCCCCCCCCTCCAGATCCTGATGCCTCCATGTGTCCCGGAACTACTAGGCTTTCCTCCCCAGACCCTTCGGCAGTGGTCACCCCACTTCCTTGTCCGTGGTATGCTCGGAAACAGACCGTTCACTTTGCTCTAGCTCACCTCCCCCATCCTCTAAAAGAGCAAATTTGTTGCCAGTGTCGGCTCCCCCTTTCTCATCTTTTTTTTTTTTTTTTTTTCCTTACAAAAAAAAACCGCCGGTGATAGTGGCGCTGATAAGAGCAGACACCACTACCACTCGGGGAGAGGCTCCATCTATTGGTGGGGAGCRTCACCTGCTGGAAAACAGGTCCAGCGTCCCATATACAGACTGTAATCAGATAAACAATGTAGAGACCCCTGCCAGCATTGATTACCCTGGATTCCAGGGGATTGACTGAGCAGGGCATTGGAAAAAAAAAACAGAAATAGACCTGCCACTGAGCAGGTTGTGGTAGAAAAAAACTGAGATGAATGCTGTCTTCAGAAGACTGTCTGCACAGGATGTTGAGCTGCAGGGAGTAAACCTCTTCACCCTGTACCAGGCGCCAAATTCCTGCTGCTGAAGGACTGGTTTCCCCCTGAATGCCTGATGGTCCACTTCGCCCTGTACCCGGCCGATTTTCTGTTGTTGAAGGCTCATTTTCCTTCTCCATTCCCGTGTCAGGACAGGGGTCCAGGAGGGACCACTGGGGGGCACCAGTGGTTCCTTCCGTTCCCTTGCCCATCCCTCCAAAAGGACCCCTCCTCAGCCACTCTTCTGCCATCCCCCTTTGCTGCGTCAGATGAGGTGGGATAAGGAAAGGGAGACAGACTAACCGGGGTCTATACGGAAGGGCAGAAGGGGCACCGGTTACAGGTATACTTCCAAGGGTGGGGGGGGAATGGGTCTGGGAATTCATTCGCAGTCCCCCTTTCTCATCTTCAGTTGCTATTTCAATTTTTTTCTTTTAGATTCTTTTTCGTCCCGACCACCACCCATGTATCCTTCCCCCGAGCCTCGGCCGGTTGATTCAGGTGTGTTTCCAAGGTTTTCGGGGGGACCCATGTCGCCGGTGGTCTGGTACCTTGACGGGGTTCCCCTTGCCTCTCCCACCGCCATCCTATCACCTTTCCTTCCTCTTCTCCAGGTGCATCAATGTACACCCATCCTTCATGGTCTGGGTCGACAGTTCGCCATCGAGTTTTTACAAAGGGGTCCCTTTTGAGGCGTCCCGTAGGCTTTATGGTACGGGATGGGTGACGGGCACAGGCAGTGTCAGTGTACAAATGGCCATAGGCCTGACATCTAACGCACCAGGGACGATGCTTATGGGCAGTGTGAATTCGGTACACTTTCCCGCCCACATAGAACGGAATAACATCATCGATCGTGAAAATGTGACCTTCTACTAGACGGAGGGCCAACATAAGATAGTCGTCTCTTCGTGCGATATGTGGTGGCAAGGTGTCAATAAAATCCACCACATCGAATCTCTCGGCAAAATCCTGCACAAAAGCTGCTTGTATCTCAATGGGGATGTGTCGAAATTCTACCCAAAAGTGCTCCCTCATCATTTGTTCACTTTGTTCTTCTGGTCTCGGCTGTCTTGGGGGAGACCACAGGTAGATTCGCACCTCCGATCCTTCACAACGGAGCGACTTGTCGTCGTCCAGCATACAAATGACAATAATGACAGAAGACGAGGCTGGTTGTATCAGGAAGAGATCGTGGGCAACCTCCAAGGATCCCTTGAAAGTCGCCAGGCGTTCCCTGATCCAGCCAACCTTATCGTTTGTTGAGTTAAATGCCACGTCATCATGGAAAGCCCAGTTGCTTGCGTGGCGTGTATACAACTCATCCCTCTCTTTCACTTTGTCACCCGGGAGTGCTTGGACAACGGCCTTCCTACCGCCGTGGTGTACTATCTTATGTTCCGAGGCGGCCAGGAGGCGGGTAAGGAAGAAAGCCCCAACCGATGTCAAACTTCCTAACGGAATCCTCCATTCATCCTCTTTCCCATCATTCTCACCTTCATTCTTCTGTTGGATAAGAATGGATTTCTCAGCAAACGGCCTCGCTACCTTCTCTGCCCACGATCTCGAGCCCGCACTGTGGCCCATACTCTGGCTAGATGAACTCGATGAAAACTCCTCCTAGACACCTTCCCCAGTTCTCCCTCCTTCCATCCCTCCTTCCTGCGCGCTCTCCACCGTGTGGGATGGGTATGAGCTGTCAGACCCCATGAGCCATTTGTAGGCGTGGTGTCTTGCCGCCCCCTTGTACATGAGCATGGAGTCCAATTTCTTGTGCACCCTCTGCTGTTTGTTTTTCCTTCTACCGATCACCATGTTTCCGTTGTTCTTGTTAACTCTTGCTTCGTCCAGGTGGCATCCCGGGGAGGTGATCAATACAGGGAGGGCACAACGTAGCGAAGAGGAGAACGGAGAGAGAGCGGGCTATGAATCCCCCTCGGCGGCCGCCAGGTCCGCGCGACCGCGCAACTTTGCGGCCGCATGGCGGCCAGTGGGGAGGGGGGTTGGGGRTTTGGGAAGCGCCATGGGGSAGKGMAACCCCMSCCCCMCCYCCYMAAAAAAAAAAAAAAAAAAAAAAAAAAATTGGGTGAGGGGGTTTGGCTGTGAGTGCAGATAATTGGAAAGGTTGATTTATTGATTTATTCATTGATTGATTGATTGATTGATTGATTGATTGATTGATTGGCAGGGGCGGGGTCGCCCCACCCCCCCTTTGATTGATTGATTGATTGATTGAGTCATTCGATTTTGCTTTTTTTTTTTTTTTGTTGATTGATTGATTGATTGATTGGTGGGGGAGGGGTCACCCCACCCTCCCCGTCACCCACCACGCGAGCGCGCACACACACACACACACACACACACACACACACACACAATCAGTTTTATGTTTGTTGGTCCTTTTCCTATTGTCTGTCTCCCCTCTGATTTTTTCAAAGTATTTTTGTGTGTGCCCAACTGAGCACCCTTAGGTAGTGCCAAACAGTCGGTGGTTCCTCGTTTGGAGTGCCAACTGCACTCTTAGGGGGGCCTCTCGGTTCGGTTTATCTGTGTTGCCTGTAGATGATGACGGATGCTCGTCGGAGTGTCTTCCTGGCTCAGTGGGTGGTGGGAACCAACAGTCTGTGGGGTTCACCCGTGATGTGAATAGGTGATGTGCTGCTTTGCTCCGTGTTGGATGTGTGGACTACCCCGTCTGCGCTCCACCACTGCCTTGCTGCCAGTTCCGCTTGCCTCGCAGGTCGTTCTTGGCATGCTGCTGTCTTCGCTGTGTGGTGTGGCCGGGTTGTGGTGTTGCCTTGCGCTTCGCTGCTTCGCTGTCTTGTCGCCCGTCCGCTGGTCGTGCCTTCCGGGTCTTTTGCTTGCGTGCCCTGTAGTTTGGTTGTCGTGTTGGGGTTGCCTTGTGCTCCACAGCATGGTCACTCTTCTGCTTGTCCGCTTGCCCTCTCGTCCCTTGCAGTGTGGTTGTCTTGGTGGTGCTGCCTGGTGCTTCACTGCTTGGGTGCCGTGCTGCGAGTTCGGCGTGCCGTGTCGTTCCTTGCAGTCGTTTTGGCGTTGTGCAGCCGTGTTGCCTCTACTGCGCTGCCTGGTGCTCCGCAGGGTTGCTGCCCGCTGCTATGTTCCGATTGGGGACAATCTGCCATCAACAAGGGTCAAAGGGTTCATGACCCAAACCATCAATACGGGCATTCAGCAGATTGTCGAGGGTTCAGTCTCCTGATGAGTCGGTGCAACTCCGACGAAACAATCTATCATTAGTTTTATTTTTTTCAGCTTTGCATGTTTTGATACTTCATTTTTTTTGGGATGTTTCTTTGGCATGTTGGTTGTGTTTTGGGCACTGTGTATTGTCTGTCTGCCCACCAGCCTTCCCCATGCCCTCTATCCTTTGGTCTCTGTTGTGAACTTGCCACTTTTTGTCATCAACTTTTTTTGTCCCCTGCCTCTTTCCTCACTTTTGTTCGTCAGCCATTCTTCTGGACTCGACCTTTCTCTCTCAACCGTCAGGTTGAGCTCTCGCCATGGGGACTTGGTCCATTTGTATGATGGCATTCTCGTACAAATGTCGTGCTTTTGTTCTGCCGCTTCTAGTCTTGCGCTGTGTTGTTGTTTTGGGAAAGGTCGTCTGGTGTGAAGCTTGGTCGCTGGGGTTATGTTTTCATTACTTACCACTCTCTCTCTCTCTCTCTCTCTCTCTCTCTCTCTCACACACACACACACACACACACACACACACACACACACAMACACACACATACAAAGAATATAAAGAA